CAAACTCCGCCTACAGTGGGCGGGGCGTGCGCGTTAGAAATTTCAGGTTGCAAATTCTTAACTCATAATAATAACATAATAACAATCGAGCAAGCGTTGTAATCCCCTTCGCGGAACCGATGAAACTGGAACCTTTTCAATGACGGCAATGTAGGATGTGTCGTGGTCGTAGGTACTCTGTGACAGGAACTGATAACAACTGATAAAAACTGATAAAGGGCCTTAGAGAACAAAAGGGTATTCATGATCAAATACTGACTCTTTAAAATGTTTCATTCAATAAGACGGGTAAATGCAGTAATAGCGACCGATCAGACATTTCTCCATAACGAAATGAGAATATTGTCCATTTCTTGCTATTAAACTACCACCGTTACGTAGTAAGCTCTGTGACACAATGAAGTACCACGATTCCTTTTTGTTTTGTGACATATCATTTGTGACTAAACTCATCTGACCGCTAATGATATAGGATTCCCAATTAATGAAAACTCCGTGGGAAAAATGTCCTATTGATAACGACATCTGTGATAGGCGTTACTATCCATTTCTGGGTACCATTCAAGACATTGGCTTTCAATCAGTTAAGCCATCAATGTGACACAATTTCGAGATGAAGAGCAATGAATCGAGACTTCTAATTAGTATACAATCAATTATAACACAGAAAAAAGCTAATGAGCTAATGCTGGGAGTGTAGAGCTTTCAAGGAAAAGCAATTTTCTTACGAGGACCGCCCGGCGAAGCCGGGCGACACCATAAGAAGGAGGGAAGCCTGGCGTTAGCCGGGCGGCCCGACTGGTATAAGAATACTCAGAAACATAATTTTCAGTAATCGCAAAGGCGTCATGGGCACGGACACAAAAAAGGATTCCAGCGACGAAAGAGCCAACCCTAGTCAGCCTTGACAGCATCAAGCCATGGAAAGACGCAATCAGGCCAATACAAAAACGGCAAATCTTAAAGAAAACAAAATGGAAAAAATTTGGGTTGTCAATCTTCGTGAAGGAAGATGCGACGACTTTAAATTCGCACCTACTTAATGATGACTCAACGCTCTAGCAGCCCCTCCAGTAAATTACTCCAAGCAGTTTCTTTTGCATTCTGCTTTACCAGTAAGCCTATAAGCTCCTACAGATATATATAACTATAAACACGTGATGAAAGTCGACCACCACACTACATACCAACAACCTTTACTACTCCTTCGAGATTACCCATTACTGTGCGGAAACCTTCAAATCTTCATTGAAATTACCCTGGTGAATTGGGTTTCCACTCCGAAGTCCTTTGCCATTGTAACATGAGAATCCAAATGGATCATTCCAAGAAAATTCAAGCATATAGGTGGAGTCAAACGGCAAAGCAGGCTGAAGTTATTGCTTTGCAGTTGAATTGAAAATAACATCCACGGAAGTGTGTTAGAGATATAATAAATAAAAAAGAGCAGAGAAGTCTCACTGAATAGACATACATTGCACTGAATAGTAAACTGTTCCCATCTGTATGACGATTCGGATCCAAGTGATAATACTGATAAATCTTTAGCCGGAATACAGTAAAATAAGCACACGAACATAAGTAGCAGATAATACCCATCGCAACAAGCTAAAAGAAACTGCATACACAACTAAATTAACAAAAAATCGCAAAATTATTACATTCAAAGTTGAAGCTGTGCACACACCTGAGTATATTTGTAATGAAATCGCTTTGCAGCATAATCCACAATTATACCAGCGGGGGTTAATGTCGGACTTACAATGAAAAATGTACATTCACTGATAAGAATCAGTATGGTCATGCAAGCCAGCAAAACGGAGAGCACCTGAAAATGGATCCCATAAGGTGTTGGTTGCTACGGATTAAACCAAATTACCTTGCTATGAAAAATCCTCAAAAACCAAAACGCTGTATGTACATAGTGATGAAACGAAGATTCAAAAAATCTATACGAAGCAATCACTGCCTACTAGAAACCCGGCTATATTTGAGAAATCGCAATTGCATCTGATCTAAACGGGTTCGACTGAATTCTCATACAGAATTCCATAAAAATATATTGCAAAATTCCCCAAACATAAAAGTAAAAAATTAGAACAAGGCACATTTAAAATTAACCATCAATAGCTTAAGGGCACGTGAAGGGTTAGTCACTTCATTTATACCAGATTCCTCTTTTCCATTGCCACAACCAAAAGTGATTGCTAGTGATCCAACATTCCAATCATAATGTAATAAAACTAAGATCCGACATCACCTTGCAGAGTGGACGTTGTGCAACTACCAACCAAAAGAACTGCACTTTTTCTGGAAGGATGCTGGGCGAATTCAACTCGAGTTTTCCAGTGACTTCTGCTTGAGCCAAATCCTCCAAAAACAAAGCGTGCTGAATCAGCGACCTGAATACTGTTTTCAAGAACAGGAGCATTTCAAGCAACGCTTATCATTTAATCCACAACAATTGCCATCATTAATTTTGGCGCAGCTGACTCGTCGTTCGAAGATAATTTCAAAGGGAAGTAAGCACATCTTGAAATCTGATGCATGTAAGACTACTCCTGAACATTAGTAAGCCCAAACTCCTGTTCTGCTCGACACTACCAGATGTGAAAGATGTAATAGCTTGCCCAGAGTGCTTGAATAGGCATAGGAATAGACTTAACTTTTGGTGGCAAAAAAGTGCTGTTGAATGAAAATGTGTGACGCGAAAAGCAAATTTATGTTGAAGACTTATGAAACACCGTGAAAAACACTAAGTCGTCCACACCCCAAGCCCATGGCTAGATGCCCGTCAAATAATGTATCACTTTCATAACTTGAAACGGACTAAAATGTTGAAATGATTGGCTGGTAATATGCGGTTCACGAAATCCCAGACACATTCGTAAGGCGGCGATTGGGATTTGATCGCTAAAAATGGCTTCGGGTACGTTTAGGCACAACTTCAAAGACAGTTGCCCAAGCAAAATTCTCTGGCGTGCAACTTAGAGTTTTTGACAAAAGTTGCGTTTGTGATCCCTGCCTCTTTCTCCAATAGCATGTAGAAATAAAAAGATTGTTGTTTAAGAGCTCACTCATATCTGACTGCCAGTTGAGCAGAAAAAAAAATTATACTGCCTACAAAATATCTCGAGGTGAAATCCAACGGTTTTCTGCCGGACCGGGCTCAAACAAGATTAAAGGGCCGATAGTGAATATTAATCTACACCTTTCTGCCTTACACCATCTTCGTAATTGCTCTCGATAAAATTATCTGAGCGATTTGGATCTGGACCTACAATATTCCTCACAGCACACTGTTATCATAGTTTTGTGGTATACCTCCACTGGGCGATGGTTCGATGATGGTACTGGACAGCAGAAATAACTTTCTTATGAAGTCGTATCTGCAACATTGGTGAACCCATCAGCGAACTGTGACGAAATAAATTGAGGGAAATTACCAGGTATTTGTCGCTGCTAACGGAACTCAAATCAGCAGCATTCAAGCTACTGAAGTCCATAACATTACGAGCCGGGAACAGCTCGCTAACCACCTTAAATCAGATATTTCCATCGCCATTCACAACTACAGACCAAAAAACACAATTGATATGTACCTCCTCTGGAAACTTCGACAAAATTATTTGGGCCTTTTCTCTTGCCCCATGCTCATTTTTTAGAATATTGAGAACTGCGCGAGTCTCCCTGGAATTATGTTGCAAAGTTCTAGATTCTCATTCTTGGAAGAAAAAAACGCTGAATGTACCGATACGTCTCCTTTACGGCTTCTTCAGCCTCATTTTTGTCCGAAGATAACTTATCGATGTTGAAATAAGTTTTATGGAGCCGATACTCTGAATCAAGCAAATCAAAATAAAATTTGAAAAAATTGAAAACTACATCTTGCAAGCAAACCTCTACTGCCCATATGCCACAAGCTACGCGGAAGCTCGACAAAGCCATGTCCGAGTAAGATAACCAACAGAAATAGACCCCATGTGTTCGACGCGGAAACAAGAATAACTTTTAAGTGCTCTCTGAACAGAAAAATTTGTATGACACTTTCTTCTAGGCTATACTTTGTGCAACTGTTCAAATGTTCAATACTGAACCACGGCCAAGGAAAAGGAAAGTCCTCTATCATCTCACCTATTGATTACTACACCTTTGATGATGGCATACACTAAAATTACCGTAAACACAGTCATGTATAATCCATAATATACAGCGTTATTGAACAACGCAGCACGAAGTTTGCCGGAGGCTTTGAAGTCCCCAGCATTCACATAGCTTTGCATGAAAGGAAGTACGAGCCTAAACTGCATGGTATTTGAAGAACATCGACACGAGAATGTAAAAGTACGATAAATCAAATTTTTGACTGGAAGCGAATAAAATTGTGACAGAGAGGTTATCATTGTTTTGACACTGCTAATTAAAACACTTCCCCTCACTCAGAACAATCAAATTTACTTTACCCGACATCTAATTGGAAACCACATACATGACCTAAGTGCAGCAGCGGAAGACTTGGACGTAGTTTTAGAAAAGAAAGAAGCTGTTTGATATCGACTCTTATTGCATCTGGTTGCTAATCGTTTGAAAACTTTACTACTGCGCATGGCCGCCTCTGTATATCGTAGGGTTTCCAGTGGCGAACAACCCCAGTGAAGTTCCCTTTTCTTCTCAGCCTACACAAGAAAAGACTGTCAAATGTGTTCTACATAGTTACGCGATCAACCCTATAGCAAAAGTGTACGCACCAAGTAAGGACTTGAGCGGTCCAGTACACGATCCTCCACAAGCATAGAAGAACGGCATCGGGAACATAACCTCCAGGTCGCTCACAGTAGACCGAATCCACATCAGATACATTCAAAGCTCGATCGCGTTCAAGTTCGCATCTATTGTAGAACGTCTGAAAAATTGGTATCACATGAAACTGTAATCTGTCAACACATTTACATTGTGGGATAGATGAATAAGACTCACAATAGCGACATCAAGTGGGAGCACAAAGATTATAATAAAGGAAAAGTACCAACCAATGAACGTTGACAAGGTAACTATAAAGTGATGGCGACGCCAATCCGCATACTGAAAAAATAGTGTACATTTTAGAGTTTCACAGTCATAAACCTAATTATAAGTACATATGTTCACTCAATGAACAATAAGCTGGAAATCAGAAAAACATAACCTAAGTCATTCTACAGCACTACGTTATAGTCGTGATAGGAAGGCCTGCCTGAGCTTCAGCGCAAACCTAACCAATAACAAGCACAAAAACATCAATAAATGAGCCAAGTAGAGATCGCGAAATCCAATGGGTCGACCCGCCAATGGAAAAGTCGCTCCTAACTATGAAACGAAGTTATCCTACAGCTGGGGCTGGGCAAATATACGTGTTAATCGGCACCCTAATATCTTACACAGCATATTAACATCCAAGCTAAGATATTGAACCAGATACGCAGGCGCATCACATCAATGGGATCCACCTACCAGAAAGACCATATTTTGCCCTTTCTGTGAGAAATGAATTTGTTCAACTTGAAATATTGTCTTCTCACTATCAACGAACTATAAACAATTCTGTAGTTTGAAAGAACCCATTTTTCGCCCTTTGACTTTCTTTGAGCAACGTTCTGAATTGATGAAAACATCCCCCACGAACTGTTATTTGTGCTGAGAGACTCTCAAGTTCTTACACTCAAAAAATTCACTAGACCACTGAATTAATGGAAACTTGAGCGGATTCAGAGAACGTTTTTATTTCAATTTCAACCAATACAGATTTTCTGCATTTCCCCTGCTATGTGCGACTCATTTTACCCTAAAAAGGGCATATTTGGCCTTGAAACACTTGGACGGTTTTCCGAAAGTCGAAAAAGTTGGAGTGACCCAATGGAAGTTGATAAAAACAGGATTCTATTCAAAGACTGCTCATAGCTCCAGTTGAAGTAATGATATTTTCGTATATTATGAGCGATATATTACGAGCTTTCAGTTGAAAATTGGGAGCGATAAACGAAATGGCACTCCAAAAAGCTCAGTCTAAGTTTGCCTCATTGGAAGACAATAATGACAGAACTCCTACTACAGTTATGGATTCAAACCGATTGCATCTTTCGACCAACTCTTTCTAGGTATCCAATACTTAACAAAAGAAAAAATAAAGCACTCAAATTGATCATGCGCTTCAATAAAGAAAAGCTAACCTTATTAAGCAGTAGTGCTGTAAGAATAAATACTGCCACCAACTCTAGGACGAAAGGACCGGCGCCCATATCTTGTGTCCAATAAGGCTATCTTAGTATCCCATCTAAACGGCATATTTTATTTATTTTATTTTTATTCATATATGAGTGTCCCCTACGAGGCACGATTAAAAGTTTGGAATTGGTGTTCAAAATCGTCCTCGCAAATGACAGTGCTATTTTGCATGAACTCTATACAAAAAAATCCAATTACTTAGGAAAACACGCAAAAATCGATGAAGGGCAGATTGGCCTAGTCAATAATAAGGAATCAGTAGTAGCTGATATCAAATCAACATCTAGTAATCAAAGAAGAAAGGTGTAGAAATAAAGAAATATTTGCGCTGTAACAGCTGAAAGAAACTACAATGAACAAACGAAGGAAAATATTTTATTCACTCAATGAAGACTAATGTTCATACTATTAGATCCTACTGCTTCAGGGCGGCAAGGCGAGCTGCCTCAGCAGCCTTTTTAGCTTCTTTGGCGGCTATGTAATCAGACTTTTCCTTCTGCAGATCCTCTATCATTTTGCTGAGCGAGGTGCCTTCTAAGAGTTGTTGCACAGATGAGTCAACCTGGAACTTTAGACAGCTCTCAAGCGGAACTACACGGGAGGCCAATAAAACTAGGGCGTACTCAAAAAAAAGGAGTAAGGATGAGAACCTTTGGAGTTTCGAAGTTGGTGGGTAGCTTGCCTACGACGTCAGCATTAGCTAACTGGAACTTGGCAGCAAGTCGGTTCAGCTCGTCCTGAATTAAAATTGCTGTTATGGTACTGCATTCTATTACTTTTTGGCATGGAAAACTAATCCAAGAAGGCTTGAAGTGAAAGTGAAACCACAAAAGCCCTACATCCGACAATGAATTTTATGTAGAAATCAATTAAATGGTACTCATCGTCCGCAAATGTCACGCCGAGCTCGCACTTAAAGCTCGGAAAAAGTTGGTAGCAGAACTGAAGCCACTCTTTACTTTAAGATCTGATTAAAGTATCCGCCCAAGGCATAAATTGAACGAACAAGCGAATTAGAAATAAATAACAAATGAAAACATATATAAACAATCACTTATTCTACATATAACAGATGAAGCTGCGCTTTATCCCACCCAAGACTATTCAAGGCGGAACGAAAGCCTGAACGCTGGAGATTACCCACAGAGCGCGTGTCATCAGAGGAAGCAAAGCACGCCAAAGATTTGATTCGTACCAACGACACGGGATGCGGAACATATAACATGCAAAAAGTTGCGGAACATGCAAAAAGTATCGCATGTATTTGGGATGAGATAATGGCAAACTCGCCGACTCTTCCATTCTTCCATTAGATAAAAGCATATCGCCTAGTATTCTTGAATACAATTCCTTATCATTAAAAGCGCTGTGCTTGAGGAATTTGAGTGATAACCTTTCGGTGGACAAATGCCAGTCGCTTCCCGATATTTGTTGAACTAGCTCACTCTGCAATGAATCGATACACACTGGAAGTTTGAGTGTGATGGCAGAGAGCGTGGGCAGCGGATAATACACCGTTTAATGGATCAACGCAAAGTCTGAATGCAGTCCTGCAGTTAAACCCATACTTCATCATGGTCAAAAAAACTCTATGCCAAAGATGTAGCAAATAGTAAACAAGTAAAATACATCAAACCACCTGACTACAACAGCAACCCGGGATGTAAAATAACTAAGTGAAATTTCCGACGAGCTATAGCACAAGCAGACTACATCACCTCAGATGGATCCACATATGAAGCCCCCATTCGTTACTGCTACACCGAATTTTTGCGTGCTAACAAACTAACAAAATAATTGCAAAAAAAGTGCCGGAAAAAAACATCTTAATATTACGGATAAAATTGTCTGCCTCTCTATACTTACAGAAATAACATACTATAGAGAGCCAGTCAATATTAATTGGCTATAATTTGGAAGTAAACTAACACTGAGGGCCTTCTTAACGGCAGGATCTGAACTGGAAAGATCTCCACCCTTCTGTGCATATTCGCGAATCTTCTTAATGAAGGCCTGTTGTACAAGATCCTGCTTTCTGACCACAGATGTCGAGAGGGAGCGAGCTGATTGCAATGTACGGAGCATCGTTACACCCCTACAAACTCACACTAGAATGTAAATACCATAGATACCTGCAACTTCGTAATTCTACATAATTATCAATCGATAGCGAACCATTTACGTAAATATTACAAATATGAATTTAATATCTTACTGTTTTTCAACGAACGAGCACCACTTTGGTACCCGAGGACCGCGCGTTTCTCAGGAGTTCCCAGAACTCGTCCACATGCAAAGATCGCGTGCGATGCCCACGCGACGACCAACATGCTATGGATTGGAGCATGGTGGAGTATAAGCCGCCAAATACGCGACAGGGTGTTCACGAATTATCTGTAGGGTATAGAAGCCAGAGCATTTTAGCCCATTGTGAGGTCCGACGGGATGGGATCTGATTTTTCTTTGCATAAGCGCTGGTCTTCATGGTTGCAGAGAAGTACAACAAGATCCAAGCAAATGAGTTCAAGTCACGGGGGTACTGCACTTAGAAGAGTCAGAAGATATCTTGTCTATCAATGACCATATCATTACCAGAAGTACAAGTCGCACATTGGAATCTGATCTACTGAAGTGTCCGAAAATTCTTGGGAACATGAAACTGTCTATAGAACCCAAGAACATACTTGAGTTTAATTCTGTGAGACAGAAGGAAGTATCAGTAGGAGATTTGAGAACCTTTCCATACTACTGGATTCATGCGATGTTCTTGTAATCCAGACTGCGAAGAACTCGCAGTCTAGATTACAGGAATTCGACTGGAATGGCTTTTCCCATCTCCTTTGATTCTTGGTTCTTATAACTCTTGGTAAAAGGATAAAGTTTTGGGGCGTGAATCAATCCCGCTCGAAGGATGCGCTCACGCATTCAACTACAATTCAGAATCGTTGAATACGTAAGTGGCCTACACAATGACTTGCGGTGGCCAGCCGATGTACAAGTCAATGCTTATATCCTCCCAGACAAGTCTGGTACCATTTGACCGACCCCGGAATGATGGAAGCTGGCTGGCCATAGCGGATATCGATTACCTCCTGTTATACGATAAAAAGAACAAAGAAAAGTAAAAGAAGTTGAACGTGCATTCAAATGTTCCGAGACTTTGGCACCAACTCAGTAAAGAGAAGACAAAGTTGTTTTGGTAGAGGCTATTGTTTTGACGTAAAGAAGGCATTTTGTGGTTCTGAAAAAGAGCAAATTCAATGCTGTTCAAATCGGATGACATCTCCACCAACATTTGAAGAAGTCGTGACTTCGTCGTGAAACAGGATCAGAATTTCACTCCCTCTAAGATGCAGGGGCTACAACTTCAACATGGAGTGTAACTGATACCCGTCCTCAACATCCCGGGATTAATGGGAACTCGTCGGTAACTTAAGAATTCTTCGCAAAAGTAAATCCTATGCCTGCCCGACGAATGCTCCGTTTGAACTTTATAAGTTGGAGGCAGTATGCCTCATGGATGATGAATTCCTAAAAATAGCTGGTCTTCAGCGTGAAAGTAATGATTTTGTTAATGACTACCGTACAACCCTAGTGCGGTTTAGCAATGGAACGAGATGAAAGATGAGAAAAGTTCTGAATAAACAGTAAACGAATAGTGGGAGGTGTTTCAGATAATTACTTGACATGAGATATGATGCCCGAGACCTAGTTGGGACAGGGAGAACTCTAAAAACCGAAGTGTGAAGAACATAGCAAAATATGTTTGCTTCTCGCGGTTTGTAATGGGATCCTACAGTCCGAAAAACCGGGAGGTGTCACATTTGTGTTTCTGAATGCTTAAAAAGGAGTGCTCCCGCACTTGGGGGACACACCTCCCCGAATGTCTTACCAGGGACAGGACCACCTAGTACAATCGTGTTCAGTATGCAGAATTGTGCGCGAGCCGTCTGGTGATAGTTCAGTTTGCGATCAACTGACAGACAGCTTGCAATGGAAATCTCAGTGTCACATTCATTTCAAAGGCGCCTTACTGCCTTACTTCAACCCACACCACAGATGACATACTTTGCCCAACTGGTTTAATAAACCACTAATTCACGACAGAGATGCCGAGCTTGAAAGTCAGCCGATACAAACCGTTTTCGAACCAGACCTACATGCTAACCAAACAGACCTCTCAATGCAAAGTCCTGACCTTTTACATAAGCAGTTGGACGAATTTCAGGTCCGAGGAGCCACGAAGAAAGCAGAAAAAGTAAAGGCATAGAATTGTATCGCGCGAAGAGGATCTATACTATTGCGAAAACGTCTTCTTTCTGGTAAGAAATATTTGCCGCTAACCACGAAACTAAAGCTAAAGTAAAACGAAAAAACATAATATTCATTCAATAAAGCACAATATCAATGGTAAGAATCGACTAGAAACGTATGCATGTCATAAGTAATCTGTCGGTTGAAGTAGATATACAATAAATATACATATTACACAAGTGGCCAAGAAAAAGATATCGTGAAGCTATCTAAAAAAATGGGAATGATGGACGACTCGCCACTTTGTCATTTTCTAAACTCACAACTATGAAGCACCGTAATTAGAAGAGTGGCATACAAATCGAAAAGCATAAGTCGAGCGAAAATGACAATGCTCATTGAAAAAGATAAACCGAAGATCGCAGAGCCATGAAAGGACGTCGACTGCTTGATAGCCAAACTTACTGGATATTTAACGATCCACCAACAAAAATTCGTTGAAACACACGTGAAGATGGAAAGTTTCTTTCGAATTGAGTACTTACTAGGAATTTTCTTTATAAAATTTCGACTTACGATATGCGTGATCTGACCGAAGCGAAGTATCGTGCACATTGTAAAACTCGCAAACAATTAAGTAGTACATGCATATTTCAGGAGCTCTTTGAAAGCAGGTAAGAACTATTTCAGAATCACATTCATTCATAATGTAGAAAGTTTCTGCATCCATAAGGCGAATTAAGTTTATTTTGGACGCCGGTGGTCAATTCCCGTCTGCGCAAACCGAGATAGTCAAGCGGCATTACTTGCAGCATTTACCCTTGTTGCGAGTAGGCTCATCGTCTACTAATTCAATTCTTCGGCCTCGTGCTGTACCATCAATACGATTTCTTGACGAATCTCTAGCAAGAGCAATCATAGCTGAAAAGCAAGTTCTTCAACCAATGTAGATGAGTATGTTAACAGATGTCTTCACTCTATTCGTGATCAATTACATGCGCAAAGGATGGCATAATGATGAATTCACCATTAAGTTTGACCCAGTATTGATCCAAATTTTTCTCCTTGACCTTACTTTCACATGAGCCACGATGTAACTGAGGAAGTTGATTCGCCTAATGTTACGCCGCATTCGCAAAGAAACACCTATGGATCCTGATTTCTACAGCACGATCGTTTCTATTTTCTTTACATTTGAAGGCACTAGTCTTGTAGCTTGAAGGAGTAAATAGTACTAAACATCGGTTTGTTCGATATCAAGACAATCCTGCAAGAGCACTTTGAACTGGATATGAACGTTTGGAGGGATTGTCAGATCACACAACACAGAAACGGTGGCAACCGGTTCGTCGAAAAGATGCTGGGATTCTCTAGCACCTGACTTTTACTATGAAGCTTAGATGCCCTGAAGAGTTTACTGACGTTTTGTCCTACAAAACAGATTGGGTCAATTTTCTTGTGCGGTTTTCAGCTTAAAGATTCTTTCACGCAAAGAGATAACCTCAACCCAACAAAACCGTAACGTTGCTACGTTCGTTTCTGTGAACATGTTTCATTCGAATTAGCAGCCAAAACAACATTGAAGTGCTAACCTTTGCAAAGCCTTTCAAAGGCATTATCGATGCCTATGTTTTCCTTCGCCGAAGTTTCCTCGTACATTGCTCCGGAAGAGGCCGCATATCTAAGAGGGAATCTTTCAGATTCTGAATATATCGAGCTTTGGGAATGAGGAGAGTTCAAACATGTAATCGTCGCAATTTTTTAGAATTTTGAAACAGCTACCCAGTACACCATGTTTTGCGGGTTTATTTTTAGATCGGCCAGTACGTTTGTGCATATGCAAAATAGCTGTTGTCATGAAGCAAAACGGAGAAAATGACCACTAACAAGTTTAAGGAACCAACTGCTACCCTCTCAGTACATTAGTAAAGGTCCATAAACCTCAAGGGATAGCGCTAGGGATGCCAACATATCGTAAGGAAAATGTAGACGTGACGGATGTCGGTAATGCAGTTATCTCGGCCAGTAAGTGAGTGCGTCAAAGAAGGTTATGAGAGAAACCTATGATTCGAATCAACCACGACGTGAGGAATATGATCACCCCCTCCCCCCTGTCAATCTTGCCTTTCGATCGGGACCGACACTCAACTTGAAAATGAATCGCAGAAGATAAGACTCAGCAAAGAGCAGTATAAGATGAGCAGAGGACGTCTTTAGTAGTGTTACCTGACCAAGAACGCAACACTCGTGGAGTACTTTGGATCAGAAAGCGCATTTATATTTATAAGTTTACGATCTGCAGTCGAAATGACGATACATCCATCCGCAAGTAAGGTATGCCAGTTTAGAGAAGGAATGAGCACATCACATATACTACACATATTCAATGATTATTTTGTTGTGTGAGATATCGGTAAAGAAACAATCGACGTGATGATTAGAGAGTCGGCAAGCAAAAAAGATCGTTGATCGAGTCCCAAACTAAATCGAACATTCGGTAATTACATGGAGAGCTCGTGTTGAAAGTTATCAGGCGGAACAGAAAGCATCTGCCCAAAAAGTTTCACGGAGACCTTCATAGAAATACTATTGACAAAAGGATACTAGCCAGTAGTACGTGCATAACATATTAGGGGATTCACGATATCGCAATCGGTTGACCGGATCGAGATTCATAATTTCTAATTTTCTTTTCGGGTTGTGAAACGTTGGAACGAGGTGAATACGAAGCGCTTAGCAGGGCTGCAAGGCAAAACGCTAGCCACGAGTTTCGAAGGGTTTCAGAAGCGTAGTGACAGGATTAAAGATAAAGACTTCGTAAAGAAGAAGGTGATGAGCATGTGGTGGATTCGTATAGGAGTGGGAAGTGGGTGCCCTTACATTGCAACCCCATGAATCTTCCAGTAGTTCCCGTAGGAATCTGGATCACTGCGAAGTTGCGGCAGATACGTTCCGTTCCGTTCCGCGCAACTTGATAGAAAGATAGAGGGGAACGAATTCTTAGCCATGCTTAACTCCATCATTCCATGCTAGACACACCATGGAAAATAGTCCGTAAAAATCCCCAGGAACAAAGGCAGCATAGTTTATATCCTACATTAGTGATCACTTACTCCTGCGCCTCCTCCAGAGTGACAGTTCTGTTCCTGGCAAGATCGAACTTGTTCCCGACAATCATCAAAACTACAGAATCTCCTAAAGCTCTTTGCAGCTCCTTGAGCCACACTTGTGCCTAAACAAAATCGCTACACTGCGGAAGCGACAAAATTCTTTTCCTATGTTTCACGTGTAAGAGACAATTGAAATTAACAACTAACCCTTTCAAATGAACGTTGATCGGTGATATCATAAATAAGGAGTGCTCCTTGACTGCCTCTGCAATAACGTTTAGAACCATAAAGTCGCACGAAAATGCTTTACATTAGAGACTTACCGATAATAAATCGGTCCCAAAGCATGATATTTCTCCTGACCAGCCGTATCCCAAATATTCAGTGTAACATGGCACCCGTCGACCTCGAGCTGCTTTGATTGGAAACTAGCCTGAAGTTGGGAGGTTATTCTGAGAAACAACGCAAGCGGTCTAGCATAGAAACCCCAAACACGCAACACTGAAACTGGGCTGAGGTGGGGCTCAATGACTAGCCCATTCTACTACCTTCAAGCTTTGACCACTGCTGATGAAAATCCAGCACATGAGACAATGACGTCAAAGTTGATGCTTGTATGCCTTTACTGCGTAATTCTTTTAGATTTTTGCTTTCTGATGCTATTCAAAACACGATAGCACTTTCTCCTGTGTGTAATCCCTCGGCTCCTTCGGTGCTGATCCATATTTGTTCGTTATGCGCCAATACCTGTGAACTAATTATAAGTACCGACAATTTCCTAGGACTGCCACTAAAATGGAACCGGTGCACCCCGCCGACTATGTCGACTACTGCGCGCTTTTCCATTCTGTCTTCTTCATCTTACACGGTTGATTTTTTCTCATTCTATTTCCCCTTTCGGGCTTGCAACATCACAATGTTCACAGTACATGTAGCTCATTAGCTATTTATAGAAATCTTTTTGATATTGGCTGGTTATACGCAGTATAGAGCGCACTTCTGAACATTGAATCAATACCATAACCAACTAAATGCCGATAGGCATTAAAAAAAAGCTTACGGGAGTGTAAACATACGACCTCCACCCTATCAGTACTCAGCCATCATTCAACTATCAGCTCTTTAAACAACGTAAACTTGAAACGTATGTTTGAAAAGAGCTGTAGTCTGCACAGTAGATCATGTGTAAAGGGATAGCGACATGAAATTTTCATAAATTGAAGCCACTAAAGATTATGAGTATCAATAACATCGTTACGCCGTCTACTTTTTCTCACATTTCTTACTTACTTCAACTGTTGAGGTGGAACAGTCTATTAATTTAACGGCCTAAGTTTTCCCGTTGATGATCTTGGAATGATTTCGAATCGTTGTAAGACCTCTGGAGAAGACGACTATCCCATTTTGCATTTAAGCCTCTGAAGAAGACGATTGCGTCGAAACGGCGGTCGAATTAACAAACTGATCCATCACAAACTTTGCGCGTCAAAGTCACAAGAATATTATAATTACAAACAGCTACACCAAGGTTAGCGCAAGAGAGAAGTTGGAGACTACTTGATGGCATAATAAAAACTTTCTAAAGTTCCAGCTATGGCCTATCTTACCTGAATGGTAGAAATATGCCTCGGACTGAATTTGTTCTCGACATAACGCATCAGCAAAGAAGACTTCCCAACAGCGCCTTCACCAAGTAAGACTACCTGAAACAGTGAAACTGTTGGTAGCCTACGGGAAAAGCCAACATTTATCGATAAACCTTGAACTGGAAGTCTTCCGAAGGTCCCGCTCCCTCCATCTATCACATAAAATTAACCTGAAGAAAACAAACAATGGACGAACCATATAGACCAAAAACAAGGTGAAACAATCATGGAAAAACAGTATGCTAGGTGTAGCACCGACAAACCAGTGGTTTAGTAACAGAACTGGGACATTTATTTACATAAACACGGAAAGACAGAGTCGCATGACAAAACTATAACTGTCCACACTGTGCAACCAGGATTGGAATTTTCGGCTTGTTGTTAGCACCCGTTTGAACATTTTCGATTTTGCGGACAGTCAACAATCCATCGAGAACTCGCCCTGAAACTCACCACACGCTTATTCTGTTAAGACTGATCACAATCAAGAAAAGTTGTAACAAATATAATTACAAAAATGCAACACCAAAAATTGACCACAATAAGGCTTGCGTTAGAACACTAATCACAGCATAATCACATGCAGCGGAGCTGAGACGTGAGGAGCAACGCTTAGCTTCGCTGTATTCTGCTGCGCAAAAAGTCTGATTTATAGTTATGTGCTCAGAGAAGGAGCACACGTTGGATTTTTTCGTCAAATAAACGTCATCTCATTAAGATGCTGAAATTCAACACAAAAACTGTAGAACGTGAGCAAATATATCGCATGTAGAATATTGAAAAATGGCAAGCGCATAAGTTTTCAAGCATCTCAACGCCAATGCTTATTTAAATCGGCATTATTGGAAAGACTTAATACTCTTAACATCCTCCAGCATTCCTACGCAGAATTTGGCTCTAATCGAGTCAATAATTTTATCAGCCAGTAATCTTTTTTGTTCGTCTCGAAAGGATTGATGCCGTTCATAGTTTACCTGATGAAGAGGAAATTCGGTAACACCGAATAAAAAATTCCGCGAAGCGAAAGCCCTTCGTCATGTGGAATGACATTTCATCGACATAGTTACAGAAATTATCAAAAAATAGGAAGACATTACCGAAAAATTCTCACCAAATACAACATGTTTCTTATCCAAGAAATCTGTCTTCGCACAAGTAATGAAGAATTGGCAGCCATTGGTGTCAGTTCCTGCGTTAGCCTGAAAAGTAGCTTTACATCGCATCCTCAATTTGTAAGGAACATCAGCGTGCCTTTAAACATTGCCCACTCTATAATGAATTGACCCAAGCATTCCAGAATCATTCGACTCGTTCCTGATTTACCTCTCCCCTCTTCTCCCTTGCAATTACCTCCTGATCCAAACGTGACTCTTCACGCAGTCACACTTAAAGCTTGGAAAATCCCAACTGTTGGCTTATTTCTCACGTCGTATCCCTTGCAACAAAGAAAATATCGCTTCGAATAGCGAACGAAACCAACCATAGAGAGGATTCCTGGACCACTGTGCTCAAGCGTGAAATTCTCGTCCCTAAACTTCGCTCCGTATATACTCATCATACCAGTGCCGTCACCCTAGAACAGCTTCAAATATTGAATACGCCATAATTAAAAAAATTGAATTACCGTTGAATTTCAAAGCAGGAACTCACGTTTACAAAGTCTCCTCCCTGTATCATGAAATCTTTAATAACTCGGTGGAATTGGCTGTTTTTGTACCCCACAGGAACTCCATCTTTCCGGAATTCTCCAGTGCAAAATTGGCGGAAATTTTCGGCGGTCCTAGGGGTAACATCAGCGAAGAGTTCCATCTACAATACATATGTCAAACATCTACGCCCAAGCATGTAAAAGACAATTTAAGCCTTCACTCACCACTATTGTGCCAAGCGGTGCACCTCCGGCCGTCATTTCCATAAATACGATAGGATTATCAGGATGTCGCAATTGTTCGGCATACTTGTCGTAGTCGGACATCTACAAATGAGCGAGAGTGCTAGTACGCTCCGAGCCATATCTGTTCAGTTGAACGATACAGATTTCGTACCTCACAAAATTTCGTGACTCAATAATAGCGAAATAGAAGAACACTAGACCAAGGAAAGTCGGTCACCTACATATACCTACATATACGACACAGCAAGAATACCTTGGGTACAAGCGACGGTCCAGAGAGACAAGACAAATCCCTGTGCTAAAAAATTGGAGGAAGATACATGAGCTATGTGTGCTCCAGCCGGGAGTATGTTGGCTATTTACAGCGTAGAATGGATACAGCCATGGGCCAACCACAATAAGGTCATAAAAAGCGTAACACACATTATGAATGTACGAAGTGGTATGTGTAAAGTGATAAGCAAACAAAGTTCAGTGTGAATAGAAATATGACGAAAGTAAAGCTTTCATTGAAAGAATGGTATCAGGCTTGCTCCGAATGAAGTAGTAAAGCGCAGGGATGAGATCGTCGACACCGTTTGATTGGCACTAATTAAAAGAAGTATGGTATAGAGAATAATATTAGATGATAGTCTACATACTATGGTGGAACCACCATCTAACTTATTCCTATAATGACGAGTTTAACTTATTAAATAAAAATCTTAGATCACGAGATGCTAGATTAACCGTTCAGATATTCAAATGTTCAAAGATAAGCACCTCACTGTTTATATACTGAGGAACATTGAGCCACTGTTAGACTGACATGAAAATTATAAACAATAGTCCTGCTTTAATACTGGCTTGATAATAGCATTTTGTCCTTCGCCTGACGCACCGTTATTTATATAATATTAAAAAGGTAGGCTTTCTAGGGAGATTCCAACTACTCTGCTTGTAGTTCATTCGAAGAAATTTTGTAAGTATACCTCGTTGCACTTTGATGCGAGCTTAGCGCTATCCATCATTTCAGTTGTTCGCATTGGAAAGAACTTTGTATCAACAAAAAATGAAGTGCATTATTGTAAAGTTACTTCAGATGCGGATCTGATCTTCATAATTTTTACTACACAAAGTGAGCAAAGACATTGGAGAATGTTAGTCCGTCGAAAAAAATCGAAGTAACAAGTCGCGCCAAATCACTTTCTTAGATGTCGTACTAAACTATATGTTACTTTAAAACTCAAATGTTATGTGTTCGTTATTTGCGTCAACCCCAATCAAAAAAAGGAAGTCAGTGGTCCATTAAGTACAAACTAGAAAACGATGAGGTAGCTTCAGAGTCGAGTTAATATAAATAACGGCACGAAATAGCAGTGAACTGAAGAAAGGGTTTCACAAAGTAACAAATAATTTTAGGCGTGGCATACGGTAGTAGTCAAAAGTATGCAACCGCACTGGTGACTTGGGGCGCTTTAACATTACGCCGACAAAGGAAGCGACATATGTGTATTGGAGTTGAGAACTCAGGGAACTAGGCGGAGCACACGACAACTTATCCATTGACTTGTTAAAAGGGTTTTCGTACCTCATGTGGAATGCGCATCACCCCGGTCTGATGAAATGGGCAGCCTAACAGTGAAACAAGAAATCCTTCAAGTTGACGGTGGAAAGACAATGTTAGCATCCGTTTTTCATACTTACTGAAGGAAGCTTGGGTATAAGCAGAAGTAGAAACTGGGATTTGTAAAATGCTAGCAATTCTCCGGTAATCTGATTGAAAATGAGTTACCGTATTCACTAACTTTTAAGTAACTCTTAAAAAGCAGTTACTACACTGGCGTTTAACTAGTTGAACTTACGTTACTGAGTCTCCTCATGTCAGTGATCGCTACCCACATTGGCTATCGATTTAAAAACACAAGTTCACAAAAAGGGTAATTTTTGAGCGCGAAGAATTTTACCCACAAAACTCCAGGCCCATGCTCATGAGGTTGAGAACGCAGGTGATACTTGTACCCACATCGACACGATTGAACAATCTGCGCTTTTTGCTTTTGCTTGCTTTTGCTTACATATACTTTTGCTAACAAACACCTTAATGTGCGGCTCCAGCCTTTTTGTGTTGAAAGCCGAAATACTTTTGAAAACATAAATCGGAGAAGTTACTGCGAACACCATCAAATAAATAAATCATCATCACATCATTAAACATAACCACTGATATAGCTCATCAAATGCAAATACGCTTTACAACTACTAAGTCGAATTTGTGACCGAAGTAGAGGAAAAGGAACAGAAGAACATCGTGGCAGTATATTCGAAAGTGGAACGTGCACAATTTATTTCAAACGCTCGCGCGACGAAAAGGCCGCGAAAGATCAGCAATGCTGGGGACGAGTTTTGCGCCTGTCAATTTGCGCCCACAAGTCGTGCATTGACGTGTTGTGCGGTTTTAATTATGTTTTCATGTTTCGTCCCAGTCGACTCCCAAATTTCGCTCGGTGTCAGCGTGCGTTCGTGTTGTAACCCATAAGTGCTTCCATTGATTACACATTAATGTTGGATTTTGGTGGAACTGCTTCCCATTTGTATGTGGTGTGGGGTCTGTTTCGTGCGAATGATTATGTGGTGGGCGATTCCTCAAAAAGATTCGTTTGGTTGTGTCTTTTTTTGTCGTTGTTCACAGCTTGTAGTCTTATCAGTTCTTCATCTTCGACTATTTTCTTCCCATTATTTCTTTTTCTTTGTATATGTCTTTTTTATTTGCACTCGCATTTATGATTAATCGGGGTTTCGCAATCCATTGCTTTTTCAGGGTACAAAATGAGTGGTACTTCCGTTGATGCCGATGGACTTATTGAGGTTAGCGTTTTCACCTTTTATATTTCGGGTCCAAACAGACTCTATCACTCATGGGTTTAAATGTAGATGTGCTATTGTAGGATTTACGCTGTGAAAAATCCAGTGTTGTCGGGAAGTAATTAACAAATCACTCAATTGCCACCATGAGTCACTTTTTCGATCTCAGAAAATGCTTGTAACTCATTAATTTTTGCGTTCAGGGCAACTATGAAGAAGTTGTGGCAAGTTTTGATGAGATGGATTTGAAACAGAATCTTCTCAGAGGAATTTATGCATTTGGTTTCGAAAAACCATCTGCCATTCAACAACGTGCAATTGTTCCTTGCACTACTGGTTGGTTCATGGAATCCAATTTTTGATTGAGTGGGATACTTTAGTGCTTTGGGTTTCGGGATATGGTTTCATTGTGTGCTTTAGGTCGTGACGTCATTGCACAGGCTCAGTCCGGTACAGGAAAAACTGCGACGTTTTCTATCTCCATTCTGCAACGTATAGATGAAAACGAACCGAGTGTCCAAGCACTAGTAATGGCTCCCACACGTGAATTGGCTCAACAGGTTCGAATAAAATTTGATTTGCATGCAAATGTCCCCTGAGAGTAGGATAGCGAGGCCTCATTCACTTTGTATTGCCTTCAGGAAAACTGAAAACAAACTTTATGCTTTTCTATTTACTGTTGGATCGTGAAAATGATGCCGAATAGACTTCTACTACCCTCCTTCCTTCCTTCTTCGAAAGAAGCTTGGTAGAGGCCCAGTTTTCCGAATCTTGTTGGAACAGTAAGCTCGATTTCTTTTGCAGATCCAGAAAGTTATGTGCGCTCTTGGAGATTACATGAGCATCAAAGTGCACGCATGTATTGGAGGAACCAGTATACGTGATGACCAGCGCAAGTTGGAAAGTGGCGTGCATGTCGTTGTGGGTACACCCGGTCGAGTGAACGACATGATCAATCGCAGTGTGCTACGTGAGCTCTTATATGAATTTCCAATGCTAAACCTCTCACGCTTTTTTTTCGCATACATGAGATTATGTGGCAACTTCTAAACTTTCAATGAAGTTTCGTATTATTTTCAATGACTTTATAGCGTAAAACTCTTACTTATGCCTTCAGAAACGAGTCGTATAAAAATGTTCGTTTTGGATGAGGCTGATGAGATGCTCTCACGTGGTTTCAAGGATCAAATTTACGAGGTGTTCAAGACTTTGCCGCAAGAGGTTCAGGTTCGTATGGTGTTGCGCGTATTATTGCAACTTTCAAAACGCTAAGCAAGATTTTTTAAGGTCGTGTTACTGTCGGCTACTATGCCAGCCGACGTACTTGATGTAACCAACCGTTTTATGAGAAATCCGATCCGTATCTTGGTGAAGAGAGAAGAACTTACTCTTGAGGGTATTCATCAGTATTATATAAACGTCCAAAAAGATGTGAGCTTTTTGTTGTTTCTCTTGTAATGTATACTCAGCAATGTTCTTCAGGAATACAAGTTTGAAACACTCTGCGATCTTTATGATGCGGTCAATGTCACCCAAGCTGTCATCTTCTGCAATACTAGGAGAAAGGCATAATAATGAACCAAAGGGCTGGCATTTAGAAAGTTTTAACGTTTTTTCTAGGTCGAACAACTTACTGAACAAATGACCAAAAAGCAGTTCACCGTATCCAGCTTACACGGAGACATGGAGCAGCAGGACAGAGATGTGATCATGCGCGAATTCCGGTCTGGTTCCTCGCGTGTCCTCATCACAACGGATTTGCTCGCTCGTGGTATCGATGTTCAACAGGTGCATATTCGTGCTTCAACTCAATAATTCTTTTTGTAAAGTTAATCAAATCAGGTTTCCCTTGTTATAAACTATGACTTGCCGTCAAACCGTGAAAACTACATTCATCGTATTGGTCGTTCGGGACGTTTTGGAAGAAAAGGAGTGGCTATCAATTTCATTACCGATAATGATGCACGTCAGCTTAAAGATATCGAGACTTTCTATAGTACAATCATTGAAGAAATGCCCGCTGCAATTACCGATCTTCTTTAACTATTAGAATTCTGTCTTGGTATTCTTTTATCTTATCCTTTTCTGTATCATGTGAAATTCCTCGTGCTGTTTTGTTGTTTTTCCTTGGCTCGATATTGTTTTCTTAGTTGTTGATTTTAATTCGGAAGCGTTTAAAGTTTATGCATTGCATTAAATAGTTGCAGCTTAAAGCGGAGTAATCATGAACGAAACCCGCTAATTACGTTGACAGCTTTCAGGCAAACGTTTCTTTGAAGGGGAAGTCATTGTTTATCGAATTCTTTCCGATGCAATTCACTCAATCAGTTTACGAGCCGAGTGACAAGTACGCAAGTACGGTGACAGAGGAAAAATGTGTTCTTTATTACGTGAATAAATAATATGAAGGAGAATATGTGCGATGCTTACGAACTGGTAATCTTCCTTTTTGTGATTGAAATAGTCGTAGTTATCATGAGTTATATCATGGTATACAATGCTTGATATTAGAAATCATAGCGCAAGGTCAGGTGTTCTCAGCTGTTCTAAGTAAGCTTCAAGTCAGTTTTTGAAAAACAATAGTCCCGTTAGCATTTAAATCGTCTAAAGCATCTGGTTAAGAATTTTGCCCGTCATTTTTAATCGCCCATTTTCTGCCATGGTTTCCTACTTATTAGTTTCAGAAAGACAGCTTCATTCTTTGCTTTCAACGCTTCCTATTTAAATAAGCTACTAATATCTGGTGGGTCCACTGAGAATGTTGCTACACAGTTGTCTTTCACACTGTAGAAGAAGCTCGCATATCAACCTAAACACTGAATGTTAGTGCATAACTGTTTAGTTCTGTCATGAGAACTATGGTTTTCTTATTTCAGTATTGTTAAGCCTACTGAGATATTTCCGATAAATTTTGTTGAAATGGAACTCCTAATCTTATGAAGTGGCTGCAGATGTACTTTTGTGAGTAATAAAATCGTAGAAAAGTATAACGCGATCACCATTTAAGAAAGTTTAATGGTTCTGTAGAGCTCTTGACTTCTTCTACAATCAATCTTACCAAACCACATATTAGTAGATGGATATTATTCGTCAACAACACCGGCTATATGACGCCAATATGTTTTGCATTGGCTGCAAATGTACTTGTGAAGGGACTCGATTTTTCGGTACTATTCTACTATTACACCCCCAGAACTATTCTACTGTTACACCCCCAAAAACTCAAAATTTTAATTTTACCTATAGGGGTACTCCGATGCCCTGATAACGAATATGACCTTCATTTTTGGCGTTGGCGCCATTTGGCTCCGATTGGCGCCAAATTGGCGCCAANAATGTTATATTCGGTATCAGGACCTCAAATAACCCCTAAACGCAAGTTTTCAGCAAATTTGGTGAAAACACCCTTGGCGCCAAATTGGCGCCAATTTGCGCCAAATGGCGCCAGCGCCAAAAATAAAGGTCACATTCGTTATCAGGGCATCGGATTACCCCTATAGGCGAAGTTTCATCGAAAATTAAAATTTTGAGTTGTTGGGGGTGTAATAGTAGAATAGTACCGATTTTTCATACTAGTGTAAGATCACATTCACATTGATGATATCACGATAGGGAAACATCGGGAGACAAGATAATCCCTTTTTGCTAACTTTTCATGTCATAATGTCTAGTCAATAACATAAGAAAGTTATTAATAAAGTTTAATACAAAACAATCGAAATAGATACTTCAGTATTATCGTTGTAAATAAATAGATGGTTGTTTCCTACCTCCTTTAAAATGATTAGCATTCGTCCTTCTGAGCTTTCTTAGCATAGACACCGTCGGGAGCCATATGATGTTTTATTCCATACACAGAACCAATCTTCGAAGTAGTAGTGTAAGACTCCAGCCTTAATATTACGATATCGGCTCGATAAAATGATACCACAAAACAACTCGATCTTGTTGGCAATTAGTTCCAAGTGGCAAGACTCTTAGAACTGGTAAATTGGTGACAAAGAGACACACACGCCTAAAAAGAGACTGAGGGACAGAGTTGACAGATGCGCAAGCCACAATACGGAAGTAATCGTCCGTGAATGTGTTACCCAGTAAGCCGAAGACACACTCAAGCGCCTCCAACACCCTTCACACATACGAAGCCGCAGAATGGTTCCCCGGGTGAAGCCCACCCAGAAAGGAAAATTCAGTATGGGCACTCGGCCCCCTGGCTTGTCCACCATCCACCCAAGTGTTCCTGTCCAAGGCCCCCTTTTCACGAGTCGCATATCTGACGAGTGAAAATGTGCGTATTAACACGTGCTGGATTGCTGTAAGAGCCGACTGCCGCACCGAATTTTCGTTTGGATAGCGGGGTTACTGTATCTCACTTTCACGGGACGTCAATATCCCTCCAAACACGAGCCAGATTCTAGGGACTCGTAGGTGTGTGTTACAGTTCCAGTGTGAGTTCGAATCATTCTCTTCACAGTGAGTGATTGACCCAGATGCGGCAAGCATGGCACGCTGTTCGGCAAGAAGCTGATGCATGGACGCTGATGCAGACGTCGGCCATCAGTCGATATCTCGCAGGCCCACGCTCTTAAAGCATTCGACAAGTTAGCAGAAAAAAAGCACGCTTGCATGCGATGCATCTTATGGAAAGTCCCAAAGATGATCATCGATTACGTAGCGCTAAATAAAAACCATTAATTTCAACCTTAACTATTAGCATCACTTTAGAAGAATAAAGGAGCATTCAATGAACAAACATCGACCCAACGAACACTATTAAACCATGATTGTGGAAGCTCTAATAAAAAGCGAATACTAAAAAGAACGAGATGAAACAGTGTTCTTAACGTTGAAAACTGTTCAATCCATGGAACGAAATCACGAGAGTGGAACCATATTTGGACCTGCCCTAGCCCAGTCCCATGTGTCGTATTTGGAACGGGTAAAGGATTTGTGTATCAAATAAAGTTATGCAGGAAAGTGAAACACTACGTCTATAACATTTTATTAGACGGTCACGTCACTGTAAGCGCCTAGTGCCGTTAATTGATTTTCATTGCTATGTTGATTCCAGCATGATCGATGACAACAAGGTCTCAAGGTTGAGGGCACAGTTCACGATAACTTTGGGTAATCCAGATTGTGGCGAAAAATGGTAGATGAGATGGAAAATAGTGCCGTGAAGGTAAAGAAACTGCGTGAATCGGTGTTTGCATAGTGAAAAAAGGCTTCGAAAGTCGCTAAAAAAGGGGACTACGAAAATGGGAGCCGAAAAATGGAGAAGAATGTTTGGACGAGCTATACAATGTGTCCCATCGCGTACGTGTGGGTCCCGGTCCGAATAGCTGACTACGGTAAACGAAAATTCATTCTCTGAGTATAAGTTAACAAAACACCCTAGTAACAGCAAAAATGGTCCACCTTCTTTAGCCTCTTGTGGTAGAAAATTAAATAATGGATCGCAGCAGTGAAAAGAATAAGAGGAAAAAAGAATGGGAGAGAGAAATCGCCTCATCACTCGGCGATCAGCTGATTGTGTGTGGGTCCTAGAACGAATATTGCTATCTGTGTCGCCTCGACACTCGTCTGACGTGACATCGATCGAGGGGCGGGAAGTCCGGGCGATCCGGTAACGGGGCTCTCACTAGCTGTTGATGTTGCCTAGCTAATGATACCTAACTGTTGAGTATTGGGACTCGACAGCGTCCTTCCTGTTGCCCTTGGGGGCTTTATACATGCATTAGCAAAGATCTCCATCTACCTGTCTTCATGTCGGCGTTGGCACTAGTTCTCTGAAAGCATCAGATGGTGCACATTCTTAGTACGTTGAATTCTGAGATGGTTCCATAACATGGCAGTATCGATTGTCGTGCTGGGGACCAACGGCGTTTGCTGTACGTAAGGACCAACGGCGTTCGCTGTACGTAAGGTTCACTGATACTGTCCTCATGGAATATGTTATGGGAGGATCATGGTATGTACAAATTGGATGAAATAAGAATCTGAACTGTGGTCTGACTCAAGAACGCTCGTAGTTTTCATGCCCATAACATACACTGCTGATGGTCTGGCTTTGACGACCAGCTACTGTTGGTGGTTACGAAGGAGGACAAAAGAACCAGAATAGTGGCTAAAGCAGTAATGTCGATCGAACCGCGACCGCCCCTACTACAATGGAAGCAAGAATGCTTCAGGACTTCAAAAAGGGGATGCCGAACTAAGAACAAAATCATTCTCCTTCATTGCAGGTGCCCGTCATTGGGAGCTGTTTGTTTAGCTCTCGTTGAGTTCCACAAACTGGCTAAATAATCTCCCGATGATAAATCGGCAGGCAATCGAGACCATTATGATTTGAACGGGGTCTGCGGTAGATGTCAAAAAGTGAATTACCTTCAAAAACTGTGACAGCTTTGTCGATGTAATCAACATCAGCCTGTCAAGCTGGTCGAATTACGGTTGGGATAGCTGTGAACAAGCCTGATCGTAGTCATTTGAAGGGGGAGACGGGTAGTAGGAACGGTTTTGTGTAATCGATTCACCGCGTGCGGCAATCGCGGACCATTTGCCTAGTTATTACAGTTCTAGCGTTCTTTATACAGCACAATGTGCCATTATTATTTTTGACATGATTCTACTGTTATTGCCTTTGCTCCTGTATTTCTTCTTGGCTGCTGCATTCTGCTACATTCCTTCGCGCGCGGCGCCTCTTTCGCCGCGGCGCGACAGTTTCGTTTCTACCGCACCACACCCATTTGAAAGCATTTTTGTCAAGGTTCTATCCAATAGTACATCATTTACTTAGACACCAATCCTTTCGGTACTTCTGCTGTTCTTCTTCTCCGAACATTTCCTTCACTAAAGATCTTTTCTCACAGGAACATTTCGAGACGTTCGGCAGCGAGGCTGGAAGCCCGAGTTGCAGAAAGGGGGTAAGGCGCAAGTCCAATTTGTTTTTTGCCTTGACGTATGCAGGATCGGTGATGGTACTTCTAACCTGCTAAGCTGTTTCGGGAGTCCACTGCCTAACCTGTATCCGTCAAAGCAAAGTAAAAATTTGGACTTGCGGCTTACCCCCTATCTGCTAATCGGGTTTATACTTTTGTGCCTGTGCTGGTGTGCTTTTGTTTCTGTAGTTACTAGCTACTCTCACCCATAAACTTAGCCAAAAGAACGCATTCCAGTGGACGGGAAAACATAGAAGCCGGTTCGGGAATGCCCATAACAAGCGAGGCTTTGTGATCCACTTTGAAATGTAGAGAGCGGCTGGCTTTTGAAGTGGGCTTAGCCACCACATCGGCGCCTAGTCAAAAAAGAAACACGTAAACATTCATACTAAAGACACTCATATAAATGAGCCCCATTTCCCTAAATTCGAAAAAGTCTTCAAGGCGCATCCAGAGACCGTTGGGGAGGTATTCCGAAAGCCTCAGACTTGTACCAGGCTGACTAAACCACGAAGGACCAAAATTGCGTTCTGGGACTACAATGCTCGAACGTATGCATAGGAAGAGCCTTAGAAAAATGAAGGAAAATGAAGCACGACATCATCCGGCTGACACCTCATCACTCGGTACGTGCCGCGGCGAGAAAGAGGAACATCTATTTCCATAAGTGCAAAGGCATATGCGCTGGCTGTGGAGACAGAGAGAGACTCTTAAACTCCAGAACTAATGTGTTTGAAAAAGTTAGAGAGAGCTCAGATCAAATGCATGTTCCAATTTGTCATTCCTTCACTTTTAATCCGATCTCCCGAATAGACACCCACTACAGCATGGGTCCCACTGCTTGCCAACCAGATGACGCAGAGTATATTTACTAGCGAAATTTCTTTTGAACTTTGACACTGTGTACTTTCTCGCACCAAGCGTGCGTGCTCTTACGTACCCGGTGAACTTGTCTATGGACAGAGGGGGACGGTACGAACGTGCGACGATTTGCATGACACTGACGCCAATTTTCGGGGCACAAACCCTAAGTAGAGTAGTTTTTTAGGGTCAGATGACCCTTCTAATCTATTTTACTTCGAATTAGGGCCCCAATGATAGGCGCTAAAGTCGTTCAAATAATTACGAACTTCGCCGCGCAGTTTGGCGCGCATCCTCGGACACAAATTCGTACACATACCCATGGACAGATTATGTTCTTTTTGCCAGCTCGGTGGAAAATCTGCTTTCATTTGGCTTTAAAATCAAGGGAGTCAGTAAGAGCCGTCAGTCAGGTTCCAGCTTTTGCGCTCTGCAGCTCCTTGATATCTGATCTGATCTGTGACAGTCCTCTGAAAACAAACCGACAGGGAAAGATGTTGAGCTACTGTGGTTTCCGGCACTTCTGCATGGAAAAAGTGCTGAGGTATACCTCGACGTAAAAGCTTGGGACAGGGGTAGTTCACCTCATGAATGTTGGGAAAATTTGATGACCCCTTTATGATTGTTGGCATAAACACCATATGACATTAACAATTCACTAGATTGCCCTTCAACAGATCCTCCCAATAACGCACAATGAAAATGCAAAAGAAAGGGTTGGAAGGAGTGGAACCTAGTCAGGGGCACAGTTTGAGATCAAACTGTTTTGCATACACTACATAGGTACTGGAAGGGAGTCTCTTTGGAACCTTTGGGTAATAAATTCTACTAAACGATGTGCTTCAGGCCTCCAAATAACAATCTGTTGTTGTCGTTGTCGCTTCGGAGTTGGATGCTGCTGACTAAGA